TTAACATTACATAACTCAACTTATACTCACATGTTTGTTACTAATCACTTGATTCTTAACATTACATAACTCAACTTATACTCACATGTTTGTTACTAATCACTTGATTCTTAACTTTACATAACTCAACTTATACTCATGTTTGTTACTAATCACTTGATTCTTAACATTACATAACTCAACTTATACTCACATGTTTGTTACTAATCACTTGGTTCTTAACATTACTTAACTCAACTTATACTCACATGTTTGTTACTAATCACTTGATTCTTAACATTATATAACTCAACTTATACTCACATGTTTGTTACTAATCACTTGATTCTTAACTTTACTTAACTCAACTTATACTCACATGTTTGTTACTAATCACTTGATTCCAGTATTTGTTCACTTTTGTTAGGTTAAGAAGGAGGTCCAACACTGGAAGATGACACAAGATCAACTCAAAACAATGAACTGGCAATAGAGCAAAGTAATCAATTCCTTGAGATTTGGCACTATCAGCAATCTCCTCTGCTTCTGCAGCCAGCCTAAATACAGCATCTTCAGTACCTAACAGTCCATATGTATCTCCAAAAAGTTCATCATCCACTAAGTTGTTTATCATATCATAATTTCGGTCCCTTATGACAGGAAGAGTTTGTAAATCTATAGCATGATCACTCTCTGGATTTTCATATACATTGGATTTGCTTGTTGGAGTACCCAAGTGTCCTAGAGATGTTAAACATTTAGACTCAAATTGAGATGAAGATTTACTCGGACCAACAAAATAACCTTCATTTCTGCTATCAACACTAACATTAAGTTTTATAGTGTCTTTTACAGGAAAAGTCTTAAAGTAATTTTCTAGTGTGTTCTTTTGAGAGAGTTTTCTTTTTGCTTTTTTTTTATTAGAGTTTCTTTTTTTAACTGAATTTAAATTTAAGGAAAGAGCTGATCGATCATTCTGAAAAATATCTGTATCTCTTGATTTTCTCTCACATGATATTTCCTTGAACTTCCTAGGAAGACCTGTATGTTGAATCAAGAAAAGATTTTGCTCACGTGAATTAGAAATAAACTTGCTCTGATCACACTCAGCTTCATTCCCACCATGGTCTTTTCTAATATTTCCTGATGATTCAGAAGTTTCTGTTATTAATAATGAAGCCCTAGAAAACCCAGAAAAATTATATTTTTTCAACCGGGAAAAACTTTGTGCAATATGCTGTGGTGAAGAAACATATGCACCTGGATAACTTGGTGCTCCCTGGAGTGGTGAAGATACAAATGTACTTGGATAACCTGGTGCAGCCTTTAGTGGTGAAGAAACAGATGCAGTTGGATAACCTGGTGCAGCCTTTAGTGGTGAAGAAACAGATGAAGTTGGATAACCTGGTGCAGCCTTTAGTGTTGAAGAAACAGATGTACTTGGATAACCTGGTGCAGCCTTGAGTGGTGAAAAAACAGATGCTCTTGGATAACCTGGTGCAGCCTTTAGTGGTGAAGAAATAGATGTACTTGGATAACCTGGTGCAGCCTTTAGTGTTGAAGAAACAGATGTACTTGGATAACCTGGTGCAGCCTTGAGTGGTGAAGAAACAGATGCTCTTGGATAACCTGGTGCAGCCTTTAGTGGTGAAGAAACAGATGTACTTGAATTACATGCTATAAATTTGTTTTGTGAAGGAAGCACATTTTGTCGATGCTTTCGGTTTGCTGGCCGAAGTCTACGATTTAATCTATGTGAATCAGATGATAATTCTGTAGGATTTAACAATGCTGAGGCTCCTTCTTTCGATGCAGCATATTCAATGCATTGTAAATTATCCCAATGGAGACGTCTACGCTTCATTTGGGGCTGATTACCCAATAACTTTACGGACAGAAAAAGGAGTAGGCAAGATTACTTAATGCTTTAAAATAAACATAAAACAACCCAAAATAAATCACATAATGCATGTTATATCTCGTTTTAAAATACTTCAATTAATCACTCAGATCAAACTAGCACATTACATTTAACCACTTTCAAAAAACTTCAAAAATATATTAAAAGACATTTTAATTAAATAAAACATAAAGGATTTAGCCATATTCAAAGCTTTAGACAGACTTTGAAGATTTGCTTAAAAATTATACAATTAATTACATACACATTACAATAAGACTTCAGATACCACAGAAAAACAAAGTAATATCATCTTGAAACATTTCAGTAATGTTATTAACTCTTCAGGGTAACTCCTATGTTGATTGAAGTGTTCTGTATCTTTTCTTCCATACTGATATGCAGTGCATGTACTTCTTTAATTTTATAAACATGAGTCCATTACTAAACAAAATACTTAAATCTTACTCAAAAGAACTTGCATGTTACTTACAATATTTTCCATTCAAACATAGTTAAAAGTAATTTAAATTATAACCATTTAAGGAAATAAAATATGTCTGTGGGTCTTGCTGATCCAGATATAATTATATAAAAATGTACTAGACTTCTTGATCCTGACATAAGAATATAAAATGTGCTAATATGTGTACATAATGTGTTAAAAGATCTTGCTGATTCTCACATAAAAATGCATATATATATATACACAATGTGTTTAGATGTTTTGCTGATCCTAATATAAAGATATAAAATGCTTTTTGATTTTAATGTCCTGACAGAAATGCACAAAATGTGTTAATGTGTCTTGTTGATACTGCCATAAACATATATAATTAGTTAGGTGTCTTACTGATTTTTACATATAGATATACATTGTGTTTATGGGTCATGTTGACCCTGACATGGAAATCTTGCTCACATTACACACTAAACATGCTAATAATATCTGGTGTCCACAATAATGGTCAGATATACATTGTGTTTATGGGTCATGTTCATCCTAACAAAGTTACACACTAAACATGCTAATAATATCTGGTATCCATAATAATGATATTTTAGTGAGAGTTTAATTTAGATTGGGAAATATTTCAAATGCTGTTTAAATAATTTAATAGGTAAAACTACTGGAGCTTTTCTTACAAATACATAAAGTTTTTGTCCATGATGATATAACACTATATTATATATATAACAAT